TAGGTCTTAGATAAAAAAGTCCCACATCTCTTACACTCTCCTGGTATAACATCTGCTGCAAACCTGTAACCATGTTAGGGGCCCTGTGCTAAAATCTCTTCAAGATTTTGTTGTACAGGGAGAGGGGGAAGCAAATCTAAGTAGTCCCTTGATCTTCCTCTGTTATGGATAGTATGTCTGCCCAGCTGCTGATGCATAGAGAGACTTGTGATTTCTCAGAGCAGATTTGGTCAGATGACACTGAGCAATAGAAGTCATCAGACAGTTATTTCATTCCCTACAATGTTCAGGGTTTTATGTCTTTAACTTTTAAGCAGAAGTAAAAGTAAACAGGGATTAATTTTGCGGGGGGGGGGAGGTTGCTGTGTGTTTGTCTTTTTGGTGAAGTTATTTTGCTTGGTTGGTTTTAATTTACCAGAGTTATTCCATAGATGGTGAATTAGCTGCTGGTTGTACATACCTCAGATACCTGTTACTGTTCCCCAGACAGGAGGAAACCTACCACTACTTGAATGGCAAGGGGGAAGGGAGATTGGAAATGCCTTTCCATAGTGTGGCATCTCAGGGCAAATGCCATACACTGACCAAACTGAAACTGTGCTTGTGGGCTCAGTCAGGCAGCTAAGCCTAATTCAAGAGATTAATATGTCTATTCAGTGCAGTAGGAGGCCAGAGAAACAGGGCACTGTTTGCCAAATGTAATTTTGAGTGTATTTGTTGTAGATGCTGCCAAAATGCAAACACTGGACTGGGATTCTGGAAACCCCATCTGATGATGGTCTATTGGCTGCCCTGGCTCCTCAGCCAGGTGACATCACAGTATCATTTGAATTAAACAAAAAATAAAATTCTTGCAGGAATAGTTTACAAATAACGCTTTTCCTACTGAGTTTTCTTGTTCCGAAATATTCCAGGCAGTTTATCACCACTGAGCTTTTTATGGTAAATATGAATTCAAGTTCATGAGTCATCATATTTCAAAGTGTCTTATATTTTAATTATGAGTGTGGATAGGAAAATTAATTGAAGCAGTTAATGTGGGTGCCTTATTTGCACATGCAAAATGTGGTTCCTGCTTTACCTGTTGGAGAAAAAATAAGAGTAACGATTAAAAATAAATTAATAGTATTGAGTCACTTGTCACCTTTTCTTTTTTGTAAGTGCAAAATGCTAAATTAAGCAGTTTTAGATAAACTTTTCATGTGGTCTTAAAAATATTAAGTAGCATAACATATGTTAGTATATTTCTTCAAATCCAAAGACTGTTTTCTGGAGTTTCTTTTGAGTTTGGTTGTTGTTTTGTTTTTTTCAAAGAATGTCCCATATTTGGGCACAATAAATGCAGCATGATTTTCTTTAGCACTTAAAGCAAAAAGAAATTTCTTTAGTAGGGTTTTTGCCAAGTTCTACTTTATTTTTAACAAGATACAAATTTAATTTGTATCTGAGCCAATTTTGAAGCTCTGTAATAGATCACAGGAAGGATAAGCCTTATATTTAGAAAATCAGTTAAGTAGTGCATCTTTGTCCAGTTACTTCATTTAGATTTATAACGTATGCACTAGTCAGTGTCAGTCTTAGGCTTTGAGGAGCAGCTAAGGAATGATTCTTTTCCTTAGTAACAGTGGCAAATATGCCTATTCATACAGAAGTGGACTTAGATGGTCAATGGATTACTCTGCCATTTATTTATATATTTGAATCTGATTAAAATTATTAATAATTTTGCGTTAATCATAAAAGTATTAAACTAGTTCTTCACCAATAATCCTAATTCAGATTTAAGATGCACCTTAAATTTCATGTCCTGTGGATATTGGAGATTTAGTCTTTACATGTTTAATGAAGAGCATAAGTTTGAATGGTCTGAGTTTTCCAGCCTTAAGCCTGGAGCACCTGATTTCTCCTGCTGTTGTGCTGTATATCCTGGGAGAAAAATAATGTGTTTTGCGTCATTCTTCGTGGGTCATTTCCAGACAAACTTCTAAACCTGCACATTTATTTCAGAAAAAGTGGTTTGTTCTGTAAGGTAATGTGACTTCAGTCCTCTGGAAACGTAAATTATCAAAATTAATACTGACTGTTATTTTACCTCCTCTTTTTAACCACTGAGCAGTGAAATGTTTGTAAGAGTGGCTGCTATGTAGGAGGCTTTAAGAAAATAAACTCAATTTTTGCAATCATTTTCTAATACGCATATCCAGCATGATCACCTTACAGTCAAACCTGAATATATAAGCAGCATTCATTCATTTACAAGAATTATTGGTGTTTCATAAATGTACCAACATTTTCTAGTTTGAAAAACATGTATGATTGCCACAAATACATGTATGGTTGCCACAGAAACAGTCAGGGTAGTGGACCAAATGTGTGACCAATGTAGACTTCTTCTTTCTAATCTCATGCTGAAACAGTTTAGCTTCATTCACTAGCTGTTGAGTAGCTTCTGTACAGACAACTGCTGGTTGCAGATTATAGCAGATATGTCCTACAAAGTCCAAGCGCTGAGGTCTGCTAGAAGGTTCATGGCTCTCCAGTCCCTAGAGGATTTGTTTAGGCCAAATTTATTTGAACAGTAGCACAAAGGAAAACCAAAACACTGCTTGAGCAGCATGAATCAGTTGTACAAGTTCACATCAGAAGTCTGACCCAGGGAAGTCTTGGCACTGCAAAGAGTAAAAGAGCTAATTTCACAAAACTCTCTGAATTAACTGCTGTGTCGTAGAACTGATTGAAAATTACTTTTGTAAAAGGAAGAAAAAACCCCACCTTTCGTGGAGGTAGGAATTTATCATCCCTCCACACAACCTTCCTACTCTGCAGTGCTAATTTATTAATTACAGTTATCAGCGTAACTGTCAAATAAGTAGATGGAAATAACACCTGTATAACAGTTTATTAAGAATGTGTTCTCTCAAGTGTAATAGAAGCATTCTCATGCTCTGTTATATTATATTATTCATAATTAGGTATATAGTACTGCACTATTCCTTTCTTGTCTCAAATTGCAAGAACCAGAATAGCAAGACCATGAAATAGATGAAGCCAAAATAATTAACATACACACGCCAAAAAAACAATTTCATGTTCATTTCTGCTTCCTGCTCTTTACTGTAGCCACAGGATCTTTGCTAAAGGCTCCTACAGCCTTCCTCCATGAAAGCAGATGCAGAGGAGGGAGAATGGGGGACAAGGAAAATAAGACCCTCATGGAGATGAAGAATTTCACTGTGTAGTTATACATGATATTGTCATAGAATCGTAGAATAGTGAGGGTTGGAAAGGACCTTAAGATCATCAAGTTCTAACCTGGGGAGGGACACCTTGCACTAAACCATGTCACCCAAGACTCCATTCAACCTGCCAGGGATGTTGCAGGATTCTGATTTACACCAAGATAGTGGCTGTGAGTTTAATTGCATTCCTGCTTACTTATTCCTGCTCTTTAGAATAAATCTTAATATATTCATGCAAAAAAATAAATATGCACATGCTCACAAATATATGCACATGTACAAATGTGCACAAATCATCTGCATTTTGCAGCAAAAATAGAGCACCTATGAGAGGCAGGCAAGCTTAACAACTATGCTTACTCCTGAGATTGCCTTATAACACCCATCATAAAATTCCACATTGTTTGTTGTAATGGAACTCATCAAAAAAATTACCTTTTGCTGCTTTGCCACAGCTGAAATTTTAAGGAATGTTTCTTTCAAAACAAAAGCATGAGACAGGAGATCTCCAGGTGATCTTTTCTTTGGAAAGTTTAAAACATGACCTTCATATTTGGCCTATGGTGCCTTTTGCATCATGTTTGAGAGTTTGTGACCTTTTGAATTGCCATTTATTTAAGAAAAACAAACTAACTTCCTAAGTTTGGTCATATTGGGAATCTTATAAAACCGTTATGTGTATGAGCTCAGGAGAGAATTGGTGGTAGTAGATCTTCCAAAGAGTGCTTTTACAGATGGCAAGTTTCAGCATACAGATGAGGATTTGAAGCTTTGTCCTGCTGCAGGTCATGGTGGATTTTAATGCTGTCATCAGAACTGACCTTAAAGATATCTAGTTCCAACACCCCATGTATGCCTTACAAAACCAGGAACCCACATTTTAGGGCCTTCTGAAATGAAATTCAAATCACCACTTAAAATTATTTGTGTTGATTAATTTTATCTGTATTGCTATATAACTAATGTTGAAAGAAATTGAACTGTTGTTTGCTGTGATATATACAAGGCATACCCAGAAAGCAGCAAACCAGAAGTCAGATATTCTTCGTGTTTGCATATGAAAAGTCTAATTAGGGAAGAGAATTGTAGCGCTTCTCAATTTAGTCAGCAACTGTGCTTTATATGTAGCTGTCTGCCTCATAAAGAGTTTCTAAAAATGTTCAAGGTAATGAAAATTAAAGATTTTTATAGCTCTTTAAAGCAGTATGGGTATTCCCCCCTTTCTCCATACCTAGTACTGGTATACTGAAATGATCTGGGCAGCAGATGTTACAAACTGAAATTAGGTTGAACATCTTAAATGTGGAAGATACATGTGGAATTTTTAAAGAACTATGCACAAAATGGTACGTGAAAGCTTTTAGAGCTTGGTTGAAATTCGCAAGTGTGTAAGATGCATCCAGGTGCCCCATGATTGGGATACCAGTAGTAGGCTAAACATACAAGTGCAGTTATGTGGAATTTGCACACTTGGGCAGTATTGCTTTCTTTCATTCGTAGTATTTATTTTTCTAACACTAGACAAAAACTACAGTTTAGTTACAATTAATAGCTGCTTTTTGAAGTGAAAGACCGAACAGCAAGTATTTCTATGAAAGTTACAGGAAAATCACTGAATGTAATGGGATCTCAGCTTTGTTTGGGATACATACTGAGGTGTGATTGCTTACAAATCATCATTGTGTAAGTACCACATTCCTATACACTGGTGTTTGAAAAAAATGTATTTATTTCTTTTTTTTTTTTTTTCTTTCCACCTAGGAATTGCTGATATTTTTGCAAAATTTGCCCACAGTACACTGGGGAAATGAAGAAATCAGTGTACTCCTAGCAGAGGCCTACAGACTGAAGTTTGCATTTGCAGATGCCCCCAATCATTACAAGAAATGAATATAAAGAACCAAAAATCATGAAGACCAATGTATTCTGCAGTATTATGGCATCTGTTCTGGTTGTGCATTCAGCTCATTGCTCTTTCATTTGAATTAAGATGACCATTAAAATTGTGTTAAAATTTGCAGAATAAGAACAGAATACCAAAGAAATGGCAAAGCAGGATATTGAGCATAGAATGAACTTAAAAGTGAACTTTTTTGTTCAGCATGAAAAAATGAATTCAGAGTCTGTCACATAATTTTCTTCTTTTTTTTCCTTTCTCTAATTGCAGTCTGTCTAATTTATGTCAAGCAATTTTTGTGTGTACCTAAGACTTAAAACTACTTATCGAATGATTTTGTCATTGCTTCGGCATCACCTGCCATGACTTTATCAGCCAGTTTTGGTCAGTAAAAATTATTTCCTTTGAGTGGGAAAAAAAGAACTTTTCGGTGTTGTAAAGATCAAATGAGACAGCAAGGCCTGGGTTTGGAGGCCTGGTTATAAGTCAGAAGACACTCATATTCACACACCATCTGTTGTTTTCCCATGCAATTAGGTTGGAATAATAATGTAAGAATAGAGAAGATTGCAATGGAAATTGGTGGCATTTTTCTAAACATTACTCAGTCTTACAGAGTGCTGTATAAGCATTTTAGCCCTACAGAGGAGTTACTTAATGCTGAAGAGTCATTTGTAATACTGAAGTAAATCCCTCTATATATATTTGGGAGTGTATTGAAAATATCAAATGAAATAGAAGACGTGGTCTTGTTAAAGTAATTAAAGCTTTTCTTTTGAGGCCTTTCAATTTTTCAGCATGAAAGTTCACTTCTAAGAAACATTAAGAAGCTTGGTTTACAAAGCAAGATACATTTTTTTCTCAGTTGTTGCCTTATTCTCCGTTTCTAGCATGTTAGAAAAGGAAAAGTAATGTTTCTAAAGCTTATTTGTTAAATAATTGAATACCCTTTTTTCTGATTATTCAGAGAAAGTAAGAAGATGGTTCCCAGTAACAATAGCAGTAACTGTATACTTGGAAGTCTTCTATGAATTTATAGCATGAAATTAGTGTTTCTTCACATTATCATGGGATACTGAATAATTTCTTAAAATCACATAATTTAAGTGTGCTATTTATTTTCAAGAAAACTTTTCAGATAAGAATCCTGATGTTGCTCTATTAGATGTAAATAACTGTTATTACTTTGTGCCTACCCTACACATAAGGGTATTTAAGGGTGAGAGCTGCAATAAGCAACATGATGGAAGCTCAGAATTGTTATTCCTCATTTTGGTTCTCAAGTTGCACAGTGTTGCATGAAAAATGTAGTGCAATTTTAAGTTTGGGAAATAAAAGATCTGTAAGAGGTTTTATCTTATGACTGGTTTTTGGAAGATTATTTTCAAGTTCTTAAAAATATGTAGATACATATTTTGAAGAAAGCTTTCTAGATGTGTTATTTACATTACTTGCTTTAGGGGCCTTAGTTCTGGGCACTGACTTTATAAATAATTAGGTGTTTCAGGGTAAATAGACTAAAATACTTTTTTACCAACACATGATGATGAGATGTGTATTTTCAAATTATATGAAAGCTTTGGTAGAAGAGAAAAAAAATGAATTAGTTCAGAAGCAGGAATGTTTGGTCACTTGGATGCATTTCTGTTCAACTGGTGTCAGCTGGGGGTTTCAGTTGCACTGGATATAAGATCAGATCTCCTGGATTGCTGCATTTGTGCCTAGACTGTGTAGTGGATCCATGTGTCTTTAATGTCTGTATATTATTTTCTGTAACTTCAGTTTATGGTCTAATGTATTGAAATTTATGTTTACAAAGAATGTCATATTGTGCCTAACAGAATATCTACCAATAACAGAATAAAAGAAACCTGAAATTCATGACCATTTGCTTTAAACTTAATATCTACAATCATTTGTTAATAGAAATGTGTATTATTGTAACGAGAAAAGACACACAGCATTAAATGTACAATGTTGTAAGAGTTTTCTATAATTAACCTTTTTTTTTTTTATTAAGACATTATTTAGGTAGTTACATGTAACATGGAAAGTTGACCCAAAGTTGTCCGCTTTGTCAGATGCTCCTGCATAACATTTATGGGACTGGATACATAAAATGTCCTTCATCGGGTCCACATAGTTGTCTGCCATGTCTTCCAAACTCAACAGGTACCTCTTGCTTCCCTTGGAAGAAAGTATTTACATTAGAGGTCACATTTACTACTATGTCTGTGTCAGAAGTTGAATATTGTACTTGAGCACATTGCTTTTTAAGGATAGGGGAAGTTTCCTAGTATACTAACAATGCTTATTTATGTAGATACAGAGTTTTCTGGAAAATAAAATATAGATATATAAATAGCACTTATATATCTATACAGATAGGAATAGTACATAGAAGGCCAACATTTATGCAAAAATTCAATTTATCAGTACTGTAGAATTTACATAAAATACATCATTTATTGGAAAACCAACCCAACCCAACCCACCTCACATTTAACAATTCTACATCCCAGGTAAAATGTAATTCCAAACAAAATATGACATAGAAAAGGAAGTACCATTATCATTATTACATCCCATGTACTTACTGTTTTCAACATGCAAGAATCTGAATATTATAAAATTCCTTTGTAATATGTATTTTCTTATGAAGGAGGCATCTTGACACATTACTAGTGAAACCAGGCAGTCATTTCCTAGAACCCATGTGAGGTATTAAAACTGTAGTGTCTAAAATGTGTGTTAAAAAAAAAATCTGTACTAAAAAGCTAAAACAAGAATGTACAACATAAAAAGATTTATGATCACAGCATTTGAAAAATGTAAATAACAAACATATTAGTTAACTGTGTAAATACAGGACATGGAGTAGGATAGAAATGTAAGTTGAAATCTCGTATAACTCTGTAATATAAGAAATAACTTTCATATTTTTTGGTTCAGTTCCTCATGGAATGGCCCATCAACTCATTTTTAACTTCAGAACTACAGAAAGAAAGTATCTGAAATTCCATTGTATGCTCCTGACAAATATTACCACTGAGGCACCTGGTTAAAACTGTAAAACTGATGAAAGATGAGGAAATAAATCCATATTTATGAAGTGCTACATAGAGTGGAAAGCTTTCTTATTGTTCTCATCAAGCACAGTGCATACTACTACATCAAAGCATGTTTTTGGTGTGTTCATGTTTTACAGTCTCAAAACTCTTCGTCACAAGAGCAAATGGAGTAGCAAACCCTCTGTTCTCAGTTACATTTCTGCATCTCTCTGCCACTGTATCTTGTATATTTTGCAAGTTAATAAGGAAGCTTCCAAAGGTATGTCTGTATATACCATATACACACAAGGCACTGAATGTTTTCTGCAAAAAAGCAGATGAAGACAAATTTGACACCAGAGCAGGATTAAACAAGGGGCAGGGAGAGAAAATCAGGGCAAAGCAAACAGAGGATGTACAGAATTCTGGACATCTCTGGAGGTGAGAGAAAAGGGGAAGCTTCAGCTGTATGGGGGGAAAAGGGAAAATGTAGTGATGGGGTCAGTGACATCTGGAAATTTAAAGATGATTTAAGTAGATTAGCAAGCAAGGAGAAGCATCCTGTACACATAGGAAGTTTGAGTCCCTTATGATAGTGGAGTTGTGAGAAGGGAGACTTCCAATAATCCAGGAGAGTCTGGTAAGAAAATATACATGCCTGGTTATATGGAAGGCAAAGTTAATAAGTTCTCTGTTTAGAACTCCACACAGCATTCATGGAACAAGAGACACAGGGAGGCAATGGGCAATCTGTCTGTTATGTGCGTGACGGTGAATTGTAATCATGCTGGTTTCTCACCCTGAATGAAATTCTCTTCATCTGCTATGACCTGCAGGATGAAGGTTTCTTCATCTGTTTGAATCTTTGGAAGATCCTGCAGAAAATCAGCAAAAGAAGATTTTTCAAATTATTTTTTTGAATCAGAAATTATCAAAAAGGTGAAGTAAAGGCCCCAAGGCCTCACAAGGAATGTGCTGAGAGGTGTAGCTGAGAGCTATTTGTAGATTTTCTTGTACAAGAGCAGTCCTGGATACCTATCTGACATCCTGAACAGATATCCCACAGATACAGAGTGCAACAGAAAGGACATTCTGGAAATCTGATCTGTACTTCAGGTCACTTCTTGAAAACTGAGTGGGGAGGAAGGTGAGTTCTTTGTAGTGCTTTAAATTCTTTGGAGATGGGAACATGAGGAGAGGTGGAAAAGCTCCCAGTCTGGCAATCACTCAGGCAGGATGCTGTGCCATGGGAAAGAACGTCATCTCAAGTGCTTCTAAGCACTGTATGATGGAGAGTGAAGTTCCTGAGCAATTTAATTCCAGAGCATTTGCATTTTTATAAGTTAAAACTAAAATCTTGCATCCCATCTAATTCCTTAAGATTAGTGTAGCTGAGGCAGCACCAGAGTAAATAATTAGATTGCTATGGCACCATATCAAAGAACCTTTTAACACTTCAAAATCTTCTCTATGAACCCTACATTTGAGTCAAGATACATGCCAAAAATGAGAATGATGTGATGCTACAGAAAGCCTCTCAAAGACAGGTGCTCTGAAACTTATGCACTTTTTTGGCCAAAAAAGGATATCCTACAAGCTTCCAAATGAGAATTAATGAGCACAGTCAGTAAAGCGTAGTTGTGAACTGCATTTCTATATTTATGCTTGTGATCAAGCTTCCCCAACACAGAAAATTAAAGTCTGAATTTGCCACCAGTATCTGTGGAGATCCTTGGAAACTTATGCTTCAGGCACAACTTTAAAACTCTGAACTGCAGTGCGGGTATTCATTTTGTTCCTAATACAAAACTATCTAGTAGCATAAATCAGGGTCAGAATTTCTAGCAGAAGTGTATTGAGTGCCCCTTGGTTTGCCTTTGTTATTGGATTAATCCAGATTTATTGTACGTATTTGCTTTGATTTTCCTGTTATGTATCCTTCACAACAGATTCCACTTCTGTAAGATCTGGACTTCAGGGCCAAATTCACTTTATTTCAGGAATTTCTCATCCAGCCATCATCTTATCCAACCTGTGCCTACTCAGAGATCCTCTTCAGGGGAGCAAAAACGTTGCGTGTCAGAGCAATAGAAAAAAAAAAACACCCCAAAACAAACAGGGAGAATAGAAGAATTTTATTCCCATTAATTTCTGATTTACAGAAAGGATGAAGAAATGAACTTCTTGTGGGTATTTGGACAACTTCATCCTCAAACTCAGGATGCAGACTCTGACCAAGCTTTTTGAAATTCAGGTTATTTGTTTTCCTGTATTTCCACCTTTGTCCAGAAAGAACTGAGTTGTCCAGTGGAGAGTTCCTGCTACCAGCCCACTTGATCAGTTCTGTTCACTCTTTCAGCAGCAGCAGAAATACAAGCATAAATATATATCTGGTAACAAGATGCCCAGTGTTAGCAGTACTTAGATGACTATCTCGCTCATGAAACGTCATTTTAACAGCTAAGGAAGCTCAACAGACTTGGCAATTTTCCATCACTTTTGATCTAAAAATGCATCAGTAACTCCAGCTCAAAGCAGTGCTTGTAAGTGCACTGTTAGTTAACAGTGAGCTGTATATCTCGGTTAAAAAACATTACTCCTATACCTACCTGATCAAGTAAAAATTTATCCTAAGACATCAGCGAGTATTTGCAGCAACCGTATAGAATATATTACCTGATGCAAATAAATAATTCAGCTTTTGCATGCAGGAATAAGTAAAGTTGGCATATAAGTAAAGAAAGGGTTTTGTTGTTGTATTTTTTCCCAGGTATTTTACCATTATTGCATCAGTGGAAAACGTTATGTAAATTCGAAAAAGGAAAGGAGTCCATTTCTTTCCATTGCTGTCATCAAAATCCTGGGGTCCAAACATCTTCACCTTCAGGTGAAGCAGCCATTACATTCTCAGTACAGAGCTTACTCAAGAAACTTCATGCGAATGTGTCAGTGGCAAGAGTCTA